ATATCAGGAGTAGATAATAGGAAACCCCTTTATATCCTTATTATCTACTCCTGATATATATATATATATTAATTCACTGGTTCAATCCACCACCAGCATACCGGCAGGTGCTGCCAGCTGCGTTGCGGCGGTGAAAATATTGGTACATTTAGGCCACGCATCGACCTCCCTCGACAGTCACACGCAAACGTAGTTCCGCGTACTGACAGACTGTTGTTCTGCAACTACGATTTTATGTACACTCGTTATATTTACATCACTTACACTCACTATAACATAACTTCTTTGCGGTATCGTTGTGCGCGTTCGTGCGTGCGGACACACGCGAGCGTACACGTACACGCATGCGCATACATACACCCATCTCTACACATCTCTAGAGCTCTGTAGATGGAAGGAGTTAGCTGAGGCACGGTTAATCAGTCTCTCCCTATCCCCATCAAGCATTGTATATGCTCTAATAACCCTCTAAATAGTAATAGCGTGATAACAAATATAAATAGGTCTATGACACTGTTCAGCATTCCAGCGAGACGGAATTACCGTTTGCACTCCTTTTTTTATAGAAATAATTGTCTACCCTCTCTAATCAAGCTAGCAATACTTCAAAATATTTCCTTTATCAGATTATTTGGATGACTTACAAAATATGGAAAATATTGTATGAATAAGAATCTAAAGGAACTATTTTATATTAAAGGGTTAATATGCGTGACGGAATCGCACGATTTTTAACAACGATCTCTTGAACTGAATTGGAAGTTGCTATCTCTGCTCCATATTAATGAATATAACTATGTTATGGATATTTTCTCTTACAGAAGTTTCTACTACTTAAATACTTACGGCTCAAGCTGTATATAATGACATGTTGGTGGAGGAGGTCCTGCCGGATGAGGTGGGGAAGGATCGAGGAGGAGGTGGAGAGTAAATTTTGAATTAATGAAGTGGTTGATATATGGAACGAAGAGTGAAAACGAGGTGATAGATGGAATTTTGAGAAACTGGCTTAACGTAGATAGAGAGAAAGCGTAGGATAAAGAGAGGTGGAGTGAAGATGACAAATGGAGCGAAATTAAAAAGGTTGTGAATAATGAATGATTTAAGCAATGAAGACAGTATAGTAAACGATGGGAGAGGATAGAGAAAACAGGAAAGATAGATCACAGCGCGCTACGGCAAGGAATGAATTAAAGTGTACAAAGGAAAACTGATGTGCGATAAGAAAAATACGACATTCTTCGTCAGCGCTTCAATTTATTTGTTTTCTCCGTAATATATATCTGCACCAAATATGAAGAACTCGCATATAGGTTGTGAAATAGAAACATTTTTACTGCAATTCGCATCGTTGATCTGTTAATCTCGATATCGACGTTAGACTTTTCCCTTTTCCGTCATAGTCTGTAGCGATGAACTTTTATGGGGTTATGCGATTAATTAACAGAGGGTGAGTTACACGTGGCGATATAGCGCACGACCCACTTCAGTGCACTTGAGTTGCATTGGACGGTGCTGCTATACTATTTTGACTTGCTAAGTAATTACATTATGCTCAACGCGAAAATAAAACCAATAAAGTAATCCCATGGGAGACAAATAATGTGCTATATGTCTAGTAGTTGGCAAAATCAATAATTATAATAAAGCCTACAAAAAAACACAACATAACTGTCACGTGAGAAGGTACATAAAATCAACACCAGAGCGCGCCACAAGAATCAAAACATGGACATGCGGATAACCGTTAATTTGGTTCTCCCTCAAAAAGACCCATATTCAGTTCTTATAATGTGATCGAATGTTGTGAGACCTGTTCTGTCGCATGACTCGCATCGTTGGTTGTTCGGATAAAATCGTATGGGCGTACGGACGTGCAGGATGGTGGCCCAGAGTAAGCTAGTGCTGGTGCTACTTGGCCTCGCATCATCCGCGTTCCTATTCCTCTTCGTGCACTTTCAGGGGGAACTTGATCGGCTAAATCTCGATAGACGACGGCTAGGTATGTGATTGTTATCTGTACTAAGCACACGTTTTATTTAAACCGTAACAGTGCATCAGAGACGTAACATTGTCAAAATATGGGCCCAAGAATAGAGAACATGTATCCCAATAAAACCAATGTGCTTAACCCTAACCCTAACCCTAATTCTAACCCTAATTCTAACCCTAACCCTAACCCTAACCCTAATCCTAACCCTAACCATAGACTGCGTGATAGACTGATACACTGATACTGATACTGATACACTGATAGTTTTGCTTTTGTAATAACGTCCCAAAATGAGTGGCATGTAGGCTTAGTACCGCTGAGATGGTCTATGTCCCCCAGGGTACTGCCGGAACGTACCCTGTTACTATCTAATATGCCGGACCGTACCTCGCCTACTCTACTAACGAGTGTAGGAAGTCGCCTACGCCTACTCCCTAGCCCTAATGCTAATCCTAACCCTAACCATATCAAATAGTTACCAGGGTACGTTCCGGTATACCGGACCGTACCCAGGGTACGTTCCGACAGTACTCTGGGGGACATAGACCCTATGAGCCCTAGTACCATTATATCCAGCGTAGTGGACACCGACAAGTATGAGAACATAACATAACATAACATAACATAACCATGCTGTACGATCATACACATAGTATTAGTAATTTTGTAATAATGCAAATTATACATTTATACAAATCATGTATTCTCGTTCGTCTCTCTCTTTCTTTCACCCATTCTCATGCTTGCTTTCGATCTCTCTACGCCCCTGCATTAATCGTAACCATTGGGCTAAGAATGTTTGACCTTAAATTGGCTCGATCTAAATTTGGCACCCATGTACATAAATCCTCATCAGGAGGAGCATCATCATCATCATCATCATCATTATCATCATCATCATCATCATTATCATTATCATTATCATCTTCATTTTCATCATCACCTTTCGCTAACCCTAACCCTAACCGACAACCCTAACCCGTGACCCTAATGTAATCCTAACGTTAACCCTAATCCTAAGTCTGTCATTAATGCAGATAAGGTCTATGTCCCCCTGACCTCTGTTTGACCTG